ATATAAATATCTTAAAATCACAAATAATTTAGTAATATATTAAATAAATTTATATACGTGTACAAAATGTTATAAATTTTTGCAATATAAGATAAAAAGTCTACATTATTTCTCTCCTTTAACCTTTTTTTATTAGCAATTTGTTTGTTATTATTCTTTCTCTAAATATTCTTTCATCTCGTTTATTTTTTCTTAGTCATTTCTTGAAATCTTTATCTATAAAAAATATATATATCTTTTTTTACACCAATTTTTTTCTCTTGATACTCCATCACTTACTTATACTTCACTTGCCATTAATTTTATTGAGATTCCATCTCTTAGATTATCCTCTCACATTTTATCATGATATTTATCTATTCATTCTACATTTACCCTCGTTTTCTATCTAAATTTAATAATTTATTTGTTGTTATTCTTTTTGTCTTTATTCTTATTTTCTCACTATTATTTTTTCTTAGTCACTATTTGGATATTTATTTATTATTATATAGCATTTTTACCTCTTTTTTCTTTCTCTCTCTCCCATTGTGTGTATATTAGAATTATTTAAACTTTTGTTTTAATGAGTATATTGAAAACTTATAAGGGCTTTTACTTTATTATTATTTTTTTTTGTAATTTTTGATAGTTTAGATTTTTTATAAAGAGAATGTCAAAATATTTTTACGTTTCTTACAAAAGCTCTTTGCTCCTTGTTAGTGCTTTGCTATGAAGAATACATCAAGACCAATGACTTATTTATTTGAGTGAAAGAAACTTGGTTTTTTTAAATAAGTTCTCGATCGAGTTCGACTCATGTGAATAGAGAAAGAAGCATTGGAGCACTTTTTCCTTATGGAGTCCAACCTGTCTCAACTCTGAATTAGTTGAAGCACAACAATTTGACTTTTGGATACTCGAGGGTTTAGTACAAAAAAATAAAAGAGATAGTAAGATGGTAAGATAGTAAGATAAGATAGTATTTATTGAAGATTTTAAAATGTCTATTAGATATTTAATCAAAATTTGTGAAGAATTAAACAACTTTTATAATAGAGTGAGATAACAAGATTTTTAGTGGTTGAGTC